TCAGTCAGCCTCCCTTTCCAGACCATCTAATATAAAATAAGAGCCCCTTCCACAACTCCATCACTCGAAGCTATTTTACTTTATAGCACTAACCATTATCTGAAATGATCATATTCATGTCTTTACTTGTGTATCGTCTATCTTCACCACCAGAATGAAAGCTGTATGGCAGCAGGAACTCTCCCCAGTAGCTAGCACAGAGCCGACCACACGGCTGCCAGGGCCGCCACAGAAGGTTGTAAAGGTTGTTCCCTGCACCAAAGCTTCTGGCTGACAGGCTGGTAGGTTCTAATATCCAGCTGGCTCTCTGTTCTTCATGCTGTGGGAGCATTTAGCAGGTTGCCTTCTGCTATTTTACAATGCTTGCCTATGGGCTGGCTGTGGCTCTGTGGTGGGCATTTAGGAAATATTCATTGAATAAATGGCTGACTGATGGATGGGTAGACTTTTACTTGTTTTCTTCTGTGGGACATCATGGAAATTACCTTCTTATGGCCTCATTTTATTCATCTGTTAAGAGGGTAATTAACATCAATTTCATAGTATAGCTAGGAGGATTAAATAAAGCAGTTCATTAAAAAGCTGGCACAAATATGATTACACTTGTAGGACATATCCAGAATGAGCAAATCCGTAGAGACAGAGAAGATTAGAGGTTGCTGGAAGCTAGGGATTGGGAAACAAAGTGTGATTATTTAACAAGCAGGGGGAATCCTCTTGGTGTGATGAAAAGGTTTTAGAATTACACTGTGTGATGGTTGCCCAACATTCTGAATGTACTAAAAGCCACTGACTTGTGTGGTGAAATGGATGAATAGAGTGATTTTTTTTTTTTTTTGCTATGTGAACTAAGTTATGCTATGTGAATACCTCAATGAAAACAACAACATCTAAACCATATATATGTGCCATATGCTGGCACAGTGTCCAGCATATGGTAGGTGTTCAATGAATATCTTTTGAATCCTATAAGATTTCCCTGCTTCAAAATCAACCCAAACTTCTAAACCTTCTTTGGATCTTCATTGCCTCATCCAGGATAATATTCACTTTCCTTTCATTTGTTTATTTCAGGGGTACTAATTGTTGTCATTTTAGATGTTAGGGATTCGAAGGGGAACAAGACAGACACAGACCCTATCCTCAGAGTTTATAGGCTCATAGGGGACTCTGCCAAGTGAGAAAATCACAATACTGTGTGCTCAGGGCCATGAGGGAGAAGGGCCAAGGTCTTCTAGGGGCAAAGAATGGGGAGGAGGGACCTAGGCTAAGGTGCGTCTAGATCAAGAGGACCTCACCTGGGACCTACATGATAGAGGCCTGGGAGGAACAGCCAGCCAGGTGGGAGGTGGATATGTTGGGGGAGAGGATGAAGGTTGGAGGAAAGCAGGGGTCCCAGGAATAGCACATGCAAAGCCCAGGAGATGAGCACATGGTGAGTTCTAGGAATGGAAAATAGTTTGGCATGACTGCAGCAGAGAACAGGAGGTGTGGCTGGGAGAGTGAGGAATGGGCCGCTGGCAGTAGGAGTTCAGACTCCGTGCCAAGATCTTCAACGTCCTACATGCACTGGCCATCCGCTTTCCAGCCGCATTTCTAATCGTGCCCCATTCACAAACCCCAGCCGCAGCCCTTGCTCCCTCTGCCCTGTTGGGCCCCTGTGAACTGCTACGCCCGCATGACTTAGCTCATGGAACCCTTCCTCCCTTAGGTATTTACTGAGAGCCTGCCCTGTGTCAGGTGCTGGGAACCTAGAGACTGTCGAACTTGTTTCCATCCTGGGAGGGCTCCCCAACTAGTCTAGTTGGAGAGGGAGCAGAGGAAGAAATAAATGATTACAAAATAATGATGGATAGGCGGAGCTCTGGGCATAGAGAAGGCGGGGCTTTCCGGGTGGAGACGGGGCCTGTCAAGGTGGAGGCGGGGCTTGCTAGAGTTGACGGGGCGGGGGGTTGGAGGGGGGGGGCCTCAGGGAAGGTGACTCCCTGAGGGTCTGAAAGGACAAGGAGGCACTCGAAGCCTGGGGAGACTAGCTTTGTGGGGTCACAGAACTCTTGAGATCCAGATAGAGGCTTGTACTCTCTGTCCAGGTAAACACACAAACACGGGATAACCCCCAAGGGCACATCACAGTCCGAAAAGGCCTCTAAACTCACACTCTGAATCAACTTCCACATCCGCCTCCACGCACACACACACACACGCACGCACGCACGCACAAACGCTTACACCCACTTTATCAGGCAGTTTTGAGTGTGCTTGGTCCGTTTGGCTTTGCCTGGAGAATGCCCACCCCTCTCCCCTTTGGCTCTGGCTCACCGCCTTCACAGCCCTGCGGAGCACCCTCTTCAACTCTGGACTTCGTACCTGTCACCGGAAATTCACTTGTTTTTCAGAGCCGCCAGCTTGAGCAGCCGCCTGCTGAAACTGCCCCGTCTCTGGATCCCAGCTGCAACAACCCCGCACCCGCCCAGCTCTGGGGGTGGGGGTGAGACCTGTGCCTGAAGGTGCTCCGCGAAAGCTTGGGAAGATGTAGGATTAGTCCTCCCTGTTGGCGGCGCTGCCATCCACTCTCACCCGCGCCTCCGGCCCCGCCTGCCCGCTGCGTCCCCAGGTGAGTCGCGCGGCAGCTCGGGCCCGCCCACCTGGCCCGGTCCTGCTGGCTGTAACCGGAAGCTCCTCTGCGGACTGGGCACAGTTCCTACAGGTGGGGAGCAAATGGGAAGGCATTGGGGGGCCTGGGAGGGAAAATCACAGATCCCTGAAGGCTCCTGGGAGCAGGAAAGGAGCTACAAATTGGGGTGGAGTGTGTTTGTTGGTGGAAGAAATGTGACCAGAATGGGTGGGGTGATAGCCTGAGGGTGTGTATGTGTGTGTATGTGTGTGTGTGTGTCCCTGGGACAGGGCAGGAAGGAAAGGAATAGGAGTAAAGTCTTAGAAAGATCGGGTCGAATTTAACTCATTTCAGTTTTTTTTTTTTAATTTATTTTTAATTGGAGGCTAATTCCTTTACAATGTTGTGTTGATTTCTGCCATAATCAACATGAATTAGCCATATTTGTGCATATGTTCCCTCCCTCTTGAACAACTCATTTCAACTGAACAAAACCTTTTTTTTTTTTGAGAACCCAAGGCTTAGTATGGGGCCCAGATAGGCACCCAGTGGTCGTTTGCTGGTGAATGGATGAGTGAATGATTTACTTCTCCTTTCTAATGACTCCCCCACTCCACCCCCTATATCCACTCATCTCACAAACATGCACTGAGCCGCTGACTGCCAAGCTCTCTCTCTGCCTACAGCAGGGTGCACATTTGTCAGCTTAGTCCCCGTCTAGGGAGCTGCACATTTAGTAACTGGCGATTTCTGACTGGTGGCCGAGTGGGCAGGGCAGTGAAGGGGGTGATAAGGGGGGTCTTGGGACAACCTCATAGGCAGGTATGGTCTGATTTGGCCTTGAGGGATGAGGGACTCGAAAAACTGAGGAGGGAGTGAGTGAGAAACCAGAGTGCAAGGCAGGAAGTGTGTGTGTGTGTGTGTGTGTCTGTGTGTGTGTCTGTGTGTGTGTGTAGCTTGTGGAGGGAATTGAGGGCTGTGTGCTGAATTGCAAAGCCTTGAAGGATCTGCACGAAGCCCTAGGGGCCTAGGGAGCTCGTGCAGGACTTTTAAGCAGGAGGGTAATGGGGTCAGATTTGGTCCATGGGCCCATCACTCTGACGTGGATGAGAGGTGAGGAGAGATCTCAGTTAGGAGGTTATTGCAGGAGTTGAGGAACAAGATGAAGGTGGCTCGAACTGGGGCAGAGGAGGGGTGTCAGCATTCTAGGGCTACTGAGAGGAGGAACTCATGGGGCCTGGTGACAGTGCGGTGGTGTTGAGGAGGGAAGGCATGGTTAAGGTATTGATATTAAAGAAGATGGCCAAGTACTCCCCTGAACCAGGTACTTCTCTCCTAGGTGCTTTTCTGCCTGGACACTCCTCCCAGGTCCTCTTCTGATTCAGATACCTCCAGCCCCAGGTACTTCGCTAACCCAGATGTTCTTCCCCTAGCTCCTCCCCTAGCTGGCCCCCTCACCCCAGACATTCCTTTGGCCCAGATGCTCTCTCTGCACGTATCCTGAGCCTAGATGATCTTGCTCCAGATATTCCCTTATTTCAGGTGCTCTTACTCCTCTAGACCCTTTCCAGCCTTAGAGAGTCTCAGCCAGGTAATTTCCTGATCCAGTTGATTTACATTTGTCTACTCCCCCAAAACAGCTCCCCGCCCCCTGGGGCAGAGGTGAATGAACAAGGAATGTGCCTGAAGGGCTGAGGGTAGACGTGGGGCTGGGGACGCAAGACTCCTGACTCTGGAGCAGAGGGCCAGGGCTGTTCTGGCAGTATCTGGGGCCTCCTGTCCTGGGTGGGGACCAGCATCATCCTCCACCGTGGTCTCCGCTTTGCCCATTAGCTTCAAGGAATTGCTGTTGTCCATCCTCTGGAAGGTAGGACTGCCTCTGCCCCACCTCCCGCCCTCAGCTTACGGAGCAGGGGAGCAGCCTGGGCTCTGGACCCTGGCATCTGAGACCTGGGTTCAAGTCCTGGGACTTTGGCTGAGTTAGTTCACCTTTCTGGGCTGCAGGGTCCTCACCTGTAGAGTGGGGATAATGTTTATGCTCACATTACAGGGATCATCAGTTGTGCTCAGTAAATTCCATCACTGAGTTATGTTTCCAGCCACTTCCTGGTGTTGCCTTACAAATAGTCCGTGTCCATGGCTCAGCTTGTTTTGCTCCTGTGGATAGCTAGTTGTGGCCAGTTGTCCAGTCTCCAGAGTCTGCGCAGTGCCCTCCTGTGGCTGTGAGTGTGGCCTGGAACATGTGCCCTGTGGCCGTCCCTGACCCCCATCTGTGTGTGTATGTTCCAGGACTACTGTCCCAGGGCTGCCTGGCATCAGGGGGTCTCCTTAGAGCCAGGGACCTTCTGGCAGAGGCTGAGGCTCACCAGTGTCTTCTGGCCCCTCCATGAGTGAGGCAAACCAAAGTGAGTGACAGTGGGAGGGAGACTGAGGAGGGGGTTGGGTTCCCCTTAGATTGTGGGGAGGACCTTGCGCTCATGTCTCTCAGTTTCCCCTGGGAGCCGATCCTGGGCCCCATCCATAACACTGTCCCTTTCTCTGCAGCCATTGTGGGGGCCTCTGAGGTCCCCACGACATCTACCTTGTCCCTTGGACTGGGCAGCGGGATCCGGGCATGGCCTATGCTGGTAGGGGTCGTCCTTGGGGCTGTGGTCCTCTCCCTCCTCATCGCACTGGCTGCCAAATGCCATCTCTGCCGCAAATACCGTGCCAGCTACCAGCACCGCCCACTGCCTGAAACAGGGAAGGGAGGTTGCCCCGAGGTGGGTGAAGATGAGGATGATGATGGCTTCATTGAGGACAATTACATTCAGCCTGGGGTTGGTGGGCTGGAGACAGAAGCAAGCAGGGACCGCTTCTCCCTTTGAGTCTTCATCTTTGGACTCTCCCACCCCCCATTCCTATGCTTGACAGCTTAAGCAGAACAGATATTTCATGGGAACCACAAGCCTCAGGGACTTGGTAGTTAGGGCTTAAGGGCTGGTCAGGGGTGGAGCAATCCTCCCTTCCTCGTCTCTAGTCACCAAAGTGACCATGACCTTCTTTTACTCAATAACTCTCAGTGGCTCCCTCCTGTTCTCAGAATAAAGCTTACCAAGGGCCTGACTTTGAAATCATGCCTCTGTCAGCCTTTGGTTTCCCTTCTTGACTGTCCCTTCTTTACTTCCTGCTTAGGTAACCATTTGTTATTGCTCCCGCTCCTACCATGCTGTTTCTCCCTGGACCTTTGCTCATACTCCTCTTTTGCCTCGATCCCTTTCTCTTCTCCCAAGTCTCCTCTGATAGTGATGAAAATCCCCGGCCAGCAGACTCCAGGCGGCCTGCCTGCCTGCCAGCATTTCAGATGTGACCTGATGATAACATTTTAGCAGAGGAAATTTAGTGTGCCAAATGTCTGACTGAGATTTTTTTCCTATCAATAAAGTGGTAATCTAAATAGTTCTATTATGTTTTTCACAGATATCAATACATCTCTTTTCATTTTAAATAAAAATAAAATCTCTCATTTTTTATTTTCCTGAACTGATGCTTGTCCATAAAAACGTCCCTTGTCACTCAAAGCTATGGCAGTACCCAGCCATCCCCTCCTTTGGACACCTGAGAGCTGCTGTCTCCCATAACACCTGTGAGTTTCCCTATTGGTCTCTTACCATGTTTAATTTTCATCTTTGTTACAGTTTGCCCTTACCCTTGCTAGGCCAGACTGTGTATTCTCTGAGGCCACAGTCTGCCCCTCGTTCTGTGTACTCAGTCTCGTACATAGTAGATACTCAAAAAGTATTTATTGACTTTGTTGAATTATCATCGGCCTAGGGGTGAGTGGATGAGAGATGATGGAGTGGAGTTGACTGTGGAACCTTGATGGAGAGGAGAAAGACACGGTCATGATTGCTAGTGGGGAGTTTGGGGAAAGGGAGACAGTTTCAAGACAGCAGAGGTTTGAGTTAATCTTCTTTTGGTTGCAAGCAATGGAAAGGAGTTTGGGGGGTGAGTTAAAGGGGGATAGCTAACTCAGGAGGGCAGGAAGCAGGTGGTCCCAGCTGTCTAAGGTCGGGCATGGGACCTCTAGTGCTCTGTCATTTATGGGTACTTATGAGGTTCCATTGGAGAAGGAAACAGCAACCCACTCCATTGTTCTTGCCTGGAGAACCCCAAGGATGGCGGAGCCTGGTGGGCTGCCGTCTCTGGGGTTGCACAGAGTCAGACACAACTGAAGCGACTTAGCAGCATGAGGTTCCATGCCTGAGACTCCCAAACTCTTCATTCTGGGTTTCAAGTATGCAGTTGATAGAATCTGATTGGCCCAGCTTGAGTCAAGTATCTACTACTGGTCTGATCAGCTCCGACCAGTAGGGGGCAGGCTCCTGTAGTCCTCTTGTGATTTGAGAAGCCCACCCATTTGTTCCAGTTCAGCCCCAGCCAAACAGGGGGAAGTGGGGAACCAGGCAGCTGCCCAGATGTATCCACTACATGCAGTGTTAGCCTTTGAGGAAAGAGCCAGAGGAGAAAGAAGGTGAGGGCTGACTAATGTGTGGGGTGCTCGAGGAAAATGTCAGAAGTCAAGGATGGCTGTGGTATAGGGTTGAGGGTGCCCATGCCAAGGATGAAGCTCAAGAGGGGATGCTGTGCAGGGATGGAGGAAAGGGGAGAGACCAAGATGTGACTAAAGTGTGGCACAGTGAACAGAGATCCCAGGGATGTGATAGAATGGGGGTGAGGTGGGGGGGATGGGGGGATGGTTGACAGGACTTTTGGCCACTGGACATGCGGAGTAGGGAGTCAGCGAAGCCGCCCTGGTTTCTGACTGACTGGCTGGGCACTTGAGGAAGAGCAGGTTTTTGGGGAGCAAGGATTCAATGCCGGACATGGGATTTCCAGGGGGTAGATGCCCGGGGTCGCTGCATTCACAGAGTGAAGTCCGGTCTGTAGATGTGGCCTTGGGAATCCTTGACAACAGGGCCTCTGAGCCCCTCGGGAGTGAATCAGCTCACCAGAGCTGGGGTGGGATAGAGGAGGCAGTGAGGACACAGCAGGGAAACACTGGCATGTAAGGGTTTGTCCGCAGAGGAGGAGGGGACGGCAGAGGTTAGGGAGGAGCCAGGGAGGAGGGGAGCCAAGCTGATTCATTGTTCCTCAGCCCCCAGGCCCTCGAAGCCCGGGGAAGGCCCTGTGTGGGGGACAGCAGCACAGGCTGCCCCAGCCGGAGACCCCAGAGAGGGTGCCAAGTAGCAGAGCGTGTCCTGGCCTCCGGGGGAGGAGCCAGTGGGTCACTTCTGTGCCCCTCATATGTCCTCGGGGCCCACCCGGAGGGGCTGCCCTGGCTTGCACTTCTGGGCCAGGAAGCAGCTCAGCTTCTCAGGCCCTCGATTGAACCTCTGAGAAACGTGGGCAGAGATGAGCGCCCAACCCCAGATTAGAAGTTCGGAGAAGGAAATGGCAACCCATTCCGGTATCGTTGCCTGGAGAACCCCATGGACAGAGGAGCCTGGCTGCTACAGTCCATGGGGTCACAAAGAGTTGGACGCGACCGAAGTGACTTACCACACACATTTCTGAGCCCAGCACCAAGAAGGGTTGGTAGGGGAGGCTTTCCCTCAGAACCTGCTGTTCAGTTCAGTCACTCAGTCGTGTCTGACTCTTTGCGACCCCATGGACTGCAGCACAACAGGCCTCCCTGTCCATCACCAACTCCCGGAGTTTACTCAGACTCATGTACATTGAGTCGGTGATTCCATCCAACCATCCCATCCTCTGTTGTCCCCTTCTCCTCCTGCCTTTAATCTTGCCCAGCATCAGGGTCTTTTCCAATGAGTCAGCTCTTTGCATCAGGTGGCCAAAGTATTGGAGTTTCAGCTTCAGCATCAGTCCTTCCAATGAATATTCAGGACTGATTACCTTTAGGATGAACTGGTTGGATCTCCTTGCAGTCCAAGGGACTCTCAAGAGTCTTCTCCAACACCACAGATCAAAAGCATCAATTCTTTGGCACTCAGCTTTCTTTATAGTCCAACTCTCACACCCATACATGACCACTGGAAAAACCATAAACTACTGCACAGTTGCACTCATCTCACATGCTAGTAAAGTAATGCTCAAAATTCTCCAAGCCAGGCTTCAACAGCATGTGAACCGTGAACTTCCAGATGTTCAAGCTGGAGTTAGAAAAGGCAGAGAAACCAGAGATCAAATTGCCAATGTCTGTTGGATAATCAAAAAACAAGAAAGTTCCAGAAACTGCTGTGGGTGGCGCGAAATTTGGACCTAGAGAGCGGCCCTGCTGGGTTTCCCGGAGTTCCCAGCCGGCTTGCGTGCCTGGCCCCAGGCACTAAGAGGAAACACCACTTGGGTCCACAGATTCAAGAGCACGGAGAACTGCTGGGAGGCCTGGGACCCAGCCAGGCCTGTCTCTGGTCTGCCCTCCTGTGGCTTCAGACCTCGATCCCAGGCCACCTCTGCCCCTCACATGCAACCTGTCCTCATTCCTCCATAGCTGTCACTACCTTCTCTCCCCTGGGAGCCCCAACCCAGACCTGACTGCAAAGGATAGCCCAGCTTCTCGGCAGCCTCATCCTGCTGTCCCCAAAGCAAGGCCACAGCCCTTGTCCTTGTGTAGAGGCCAAAACCAGGGGTCACACAAGCCAGGGGTGTGAAGTTGAAGAAGACTGGCAGAGCAACAGAGTTGAGATTACAGATGTGAAAGTGAAAGTGTGAGTCACTCAGTCGTGTCAGACTCTTCACCACCCCAGGTTTGTAGCCCATCAGGCTTCTCTGTCCATGGGATTCTCCAGGCAAGAATACTGGAGTGGATTGCCATTCTCTTCTTCAGAGGATCTTCCTGACCCAGGGATTGAACCCTGGTCTCCTATATCCCAGGCAGATTCTTTGCCATCTGAGCCACCAGGAAGACCTGGATTCAAATCCCAGCTCTGCCATTTACCTGCTGTGTGAGCTTGGGCAAGTTACTTACCCCCTCAGTGCTCCAGTTTCTTCTCAGTAAAATAACGATCATAGTTGCACTTGCCGCACATGGTTTTAGAAGGCTTAAATGAATGACACGTGTAAAGTAGAACAGAGCAAGCATCTGCAAGTATTAGCTGTATCTGTAGGGGCACCACCAGGGCAATCTCTCCCCACGACAGATCATCAGTCTTAATCCTGGAGAAGGAGATTGCCATGCCTCCTTCTTCCTCATTCGCTCTAGACTGGGATTTGAACGTGTCTGTTTCCCAGGACTCAGGTCAGAAGATCCAGTTCAGAGCAGCAAAACACTAGAATTAGATGTTCTGATGCTCTCTCTTGGTAAATGTCACATTACACTTAAAAATACGTGGGTTGTTTTCAAAAACCTTTTGATACTGATTTCTAATGTAATTCCACAGTGATAGAGAACAGACTCAGTACGATTTTAGTACCTTTAGACCATGAAATATTTGTGACTTGTTTTACATCCCTGGATATATTCCAGTGTCTCTTGGTTTATAGTCTATGGAAACTTGAATAGAATCTGTATCCTGCTGTTTTAATTGTGTTGAATTGGTTCACAGTGCTTTTCATGTCTACTATATCCTTCTACATTTCTGTCCATTCATTCTACTAATTTTTGAGAGCTTGATATTGAAACTGCAACTAAACATCTTAATTTATCCACTTAAAAATAATTCTAATATATAGTAGGACTATATGTAATTTTGTTCTCTATTTTCTGTTTCCTGTAAATGTGTTATCATACTGTCATAATTAAAAGGGTAAAAAGGGGGGGGGAAAGTTCTGATGCTGAAGGATATAATGATAGCAACAATAATAACACTGATGTGTAAGCACTTCCTTACAACAGCCCTGCAGGCAGCCCATTTGATAGACTGAGAAG